CCCTTCTCCACATCTGTCACCTCTGCTCCACCTGTGTCTCACACACTAAACAAACCCTACCCACTGTGGGGCAGGAGGCCATGCTTTGGTTTCGATCTCATAAAACTGTATGCAGTGCCATACAAAGGCTGGATTCCGAGCAAGATGAATGGGTAGCTGCTTGCTGTTGCTGTTTTAGTTTAATTATAAGATTGAAAATGTATACTTTGGTCCTTGTTCTCTATGTGCAGTGTTTTGGAAATCCTGTTTTTATTGTAGTCTTCCTTTTTCACTTCCCCTGGACCTTTTCACAAGACCCAATTTAGGGTACACGCTTTCCTATCAAGTCTTATGGCAAATACAGATTTTAGTGTTTGGGCTTTTTTTAAGCTGCTTAGCTTTACTCTCCATCTCTGGCTTTCAAGTCTGGCTGAAGTGAGCACTGTCCCAGGACATCACAAGAAAGGAGACTCAGCCTTGAAACACACAAAGCAAACGCACAGACCAAAGGTGTTTCTCTGTGTGATGCACTGGCTTTGGTGCTGCCAGAGCTGTGGTAGCCACATGGCAGCTTGGAAACCTGAGCTGATTTTGGGTGCCTACAGTATACATACCTCAGCAGAGAGCTAAATTGTGCCTAAATGCCATGATGTTGCCCTATGTCTTACCCAAGCAGCTGAAAGGCAATTTAAGGAAGGTGCCCCTGATGGTGTCAGGAAGTCCGGCAGCACAGCAGGGAGCATCTACTGAGATGCTCTTATCTGTATGGATCTTTAGGACCATGTAATTTTAGGAACTTTGTGGGTCCTTGGACTGTCTGGAGATGAATCACTCGCATGAACTCTGAAAGAGGGCATGCTGATCCTGCTGAGATCTCTGCTAAGTTTGCGTAGTCTGTGGAGTCAGGCTTTCAGTCTTATCACTCAGCCAAATCTCGGCTATTCTGAAGTTAGCCATACAAAACTCCCGATGATTTCAGTGAAAAGGGGAGTTTCCCCACCAACTTTCATTGACATTTATTTAGGTGGCAGTGGAGGTAGGGACACATAAGCATCGTTAGTCAAGTTGCACAAGGTCTTAAAAATTAGAATAGTGGGAGGGTTCCATCATCTTTCAGCAAGGATTTCTGAAGTAACTGCACAAATGTGAGTGTGCCGCATCACCATCACTTCACTCTGTCAAAGCTTTGGCCCTGGAAACTGTTGGATTATAAGGGCTACTGCAGCTTTGTTCTTTACCTTCCTCATGCTAAATCTTTTCCCTTTTCTGTGCAAGGGCTCTGTTCTGACATGTCCTCTTATATGCATCTTAGTTTCTCATGGGCATCTTCTTATAGCAAATTTCATTCCTACTTCCCTTCCCTTTTTCCTTCCCTTCCCTCTGCCTTTCTTTTTGTTAATGATTTTTTTTTCTATTTCTTTTTTTGTGGTGTAACTGTTTTGCTGTGTGTGAGGCGTGGGTAAGTGTTTCTGTGGTTCCCAGGGGAGGGAGGGTGAGGAGTAGGTTACAGGGGAAATGGGTGGTGATGGCTCAGGGTGTGTGGTCATGCAGGTGTTTAGGCAGCACATGGAGAAGTCAAGAGAGTGGTCACGTCAGGTGCATGCTGCTATATAAGTTAAATAATTACTGAGTATTTACTTATACATGTGCTTCCTCAGTGGAAAAGATGCTCTTTGCATTTTAGCTCTGTCTTTCTGGTCATTTTGCGTACCGATTTTAAAACCGCTGTCTAAGTTTCGTTCTCTGAGCAAAGTGCCACACAGTTTCACAATCTGATTTGCTTTGCCTCAAACTGAGGGTAAAAGAAAGGGCATCCTTCAAGTGGCAGCTGTGGGTACTCAGTGCGTACTGAAAATCATTGCTTTGCAGAGGATCTGAAGCTAGACATCCTCAAATGAAAGCCTCAGAAGTCATTATTGCTTTGTGGGAAGCATGTTTTTTGAACACAGATTCCTGCCTTACCTACCCTGTGCCCTACTCCAGTGCACAAAGCAGCAAAATGCAGTCCAAAATTCTGGAGAATCATCGATCTCTTCTGAGATCCGTTATTGGAATGCCTCTTGTAGAATTCCGTGAGCTTTAGAAAATGTGACAAGCAAGCAGTGGGGGGGGGAAGTAAGTTCACTAACTAGACATAGTGGGAGCTTCTGACTAAGAATACAATCTCTTACTAATAAGGAAACTGTTTTGAAGTTTGAAAGGATGTATTTTGGTTGTAATGCAGATGCTTGATACTGGTAATGTTGCGTGCTCTCAATCATAACATGTAGCCTTTACTTCCAAAGCTGCTGTAATTTGTTACAAAAATGCAGAAGCAGTAAATTTGGAAAAGAAAACATACCTTTCCATTCATATTTAAAAATAAATATCAACTCAACCAGCCTGACTTTTGCTAAGGCTTCTCTACTGAGTAATGTGTGGAAGACTGTTCTTGAAGGCTGTTGGTACCCACAATCCACTTTCTCATCTCCCATATTTCATGCTCTTTTACTTTATTATTAACTCCCATCTTAGACACCCACATGTTTGGGGCCAGATTCCCTCTGTTGTTTTTTTTTTTGAGCATAGAGTACTCAGCTCCTTTAGAGGGTTCTCCTAAATTTCCTGTCACTTGCAGCAGGACTCCAGCAGGATGCTGAAGATCCATATCTGGAAAGTGTGCAGGTGCTTTCAGTAACAGGGTTGTTACTGAAACCTAGAATGCACTAATTGCAGGTTTTATGGTAAAATATTAAAATGTTGTATTAGGTCATATGGGCTGTTCATGGTCTTACAGAGCAACCCCTGTAGGTGACATTAGGTAACACAAGTAGTTATGTGAGTCCATAATACATTGTCAGTGCATGTTTCCATTGATCATCAATTTAGATAGCTCTTTCCTCATTCCTGTGAATGGTTTCTTTGACTGCATGCAGAATGCTGACATATTTGGTAACATGTCTGTGTAGATCTATTTGCCCTTGTAAAACTGGCTTTAAGCCATTTGTGGTAACTTCTTCCTGTTCTTCATTTGCCAGGCCTTTATCTAATAAGGTCCTTAACTGGGTGAAACCTTTTAAAGATGGGAAGAGCTGAAATCATTTTTCAGTCAGAAATTTTGGAGCATGTAATGATTTGTGTTGACTGCCTGCAGATCTACTCACAAATCTCTGTTGACCTCATGATTATAAATAATCATCCAAGGATAACAAATTGATATTCCAGCAATATGTAACTCCTGAAAATGCATGTAAGTGGCCCCATTCATGAGCTGGCATCTTTGTCCTACACACTTTACTAACACTCATAAAAACTCCTTTTCTCAATGAGCTTACAGTTCCTGTGCAGCAATCAGCACATTTTTTTTGGATGTATCAGTGTCTTTGTGCAGCAGTTCATGTTGGCACATCTACTGCTGAGATGAAGGCTGCTTAAATTCCTTGCCCTTTTAAACAGACATTGATTCTGGATACAATTTTCCTTTGTGTTAAGATACAAAATTCATTGAATGCTGATTCATTGAAGCAAGAATGGAGACCAGCAGTTCCATCTGAGTAGGTATATATCTTATATCAAGAATAGAAGCACTTGAACTTTAATTGTGTACATCTCAGGAAAGAGCACTAACCTCTAGATTGTTTATTTTGTTTGTAGTTGTTTTCATGCAAAACCTCAAAGGTCTTGATTTCATTCCAAGGCACTACAAAAATATCTCTGAAATCATGAAAAGCTTTGTGGGATAGGCAGATGTACATGTTCCCACACAGATCTGCAGACAGTTTTTCTAGTAATGCTTGCTCCATTTTCATGACAATGAACGGAAAACCTAGATAAAAACAGACAAAAAAAGACGAGCAAAATCTACATTTGCTAGATGTAGTTATCTCAGATTTACTTTAACAAGTCCAAATTACTTAGCAAGGCAAGTGGCATGTTAGAATTGCATCACTTCCATAACACACCATGAAGGACTCTGCAGTCATCAGGCTCTTGTAGTATGGATGAAACACACAGTCTGTTACATTGCTTTGTTTAATTAGTTGCTTCCTTTATACTATTTTTCCTTTGTATGAAACATTTGCTGTGGTGATTTTCTTCAAGCTTTGCAATATGTAGCAAGTTAATTTGGCTTTTATTTTTTTTCCCCGGGGCTAGTATGGAAACTTGAGTCTGATTTACTGAGGAAACACTCTTCAAAAACAAGAGAGTGATTTTTTTCAGTAATAAGGATCACAAAGTATTTGAAATGCAACTCACAGATTTTTCTCTTTCTTTCTTTCTTTCTTTCTTTCTTGCTTTCTTGCTTTCTTGCTTTCTTGCTTTCTTGCTTTCTTCCTTTCTTTTCTTTCTTTTCTTTCTTTTCTTCCTTCCTTTCTTCCTTCCTTTCTTCCTTTCTTTTCTTTCTTTTCTTTTTTTTCTTCCTTCCTTTCTTCCTCTCTTTCCTCTCTTTCCTCTCTTTCCTTTCTTCCTTTTCTTCCTTTTCTTCCTTTCTAACAATTACAAAAAAATAAGCCATTCATTACATAATAGTAAAGTAGAGGGAGTAAAATGGATTGTTGGGAGGAGCCAATTGAGACAGTAGTTTTAGCTTCAAACTTCTGCCTGGTAAAATGGGGAGGGGTTCACTCTATAGCATTGTGTGGAAGTACCAGCTTATAGTTAAAAAGTAGACCTGAAGATATATATTTGCTGAGCTTTTTTCTTTCTCATTGGCAGAGTTGAATGTGATTTTATACATTCTTATCTTATCAGATCTTACAGGCCTGTAAGTATCATTAAAGATCTTTTACTTACTGCAGTTCAAGATTTGTTTCCACATACATATGTTATTTTATCACATTATGATGACTTCTGCCACTGAAGTCAAGACCTTTTGTGGGTTTTGTGCGAGCTCGTTCAAAAGCTTTAAGGGCTAAATGCAAAAAAAGAGAAATAGAAATCTTGAAAAATCAGGAAATGCAGAAGGACATTTTCTAACAGCTTTTTTTACTCTATCACGTAACACAATCTGGATGCTTTATGCTATTGTTTTATTACAATATGACAAGCAGTAATATATTAAGCTAAACATTTTACAAAAGGCACAACAGAATCTGAGATGTTGCAACATACCTGAGGTGTCAGCACTGTTACAAGTCTAATGCTTATTTCAACTGGGCACCTTAAAACATTGCACTCTGGTTTTTTTCTTTTAAGCACACATTTCTATCATTAGCATTTAGAAGCAGAAGTCTCGCACCAGTTTTCTAATGAGCTGCTTAACTCCTTATTTGTTCAGTTTGTAATTCTAAGAGGTATTATAGCTGTTAAAAATAGGGAGCTTTCTCTGTTTCCCCATCCCATTTACTGTCAGAGTTAACACCAGTTGGGCTAGCGGTATCTCCTCTACGGTATATGAAATGTAAGATTTCTACATTTCCCAGAGATTGATGGATAGGGAGAAGACAATTTCACAGAGTTTTAATTATTATTAATTATTTATGGAGCTTAACTCCACCAATGAACTTAAACAGTATTACTTTTCTCACAGAATTCGTTTTCTGTGAGTGCTCCTGCACCCAAGGTTTCTCAGCATTCTCTGTTTCAGTCAAACATTTGTGAAACTTTGGCTCATTTTGCTTTTCAGGCATGTTTGCATTCGACTTTGCTTGCATCTTAACATGAAGTGATTGCACCTAAAGAAAGCAAACGTACACTTTGAATGACCCAGAATGTTGTAGCATTAGACAAGCCAAGCAACCAGAAATTGTGTCACAACCCTCCAAACCATCTTAAAAAGTGCGAAGGTGTTCTCTTATTTTCTTTTTTTTTTGGTTGTTTGCTGTTAACAAAAGGTTTAAATGCAGTTTCTTTTGCTTGTCTTCTGGTTTCTCTGCCTTCAGGCTGTCTTTTTTTTTTTTTTTTTGCTTTTGGAAACCACAGGGTCTAGTAACTGACTTGAATTCCTTTGATTAAAACATATTTAATCTCTTAATCAAGAAGCTGAAACTTCAAGAAAAATGCACAAGACTCAAGTTACAAGAGCAAGTAACACAAATTCATTAAAACATTGCATTTCTAAATACAGAAAACCTCCAAAAAAAGGAGAATTCATCAGGGTTTTTTTTACAGGACATTGCAGTATTTTTGCAAGTAAGCTAGGAACCAGAGAGAAGTACTTCTGTTGCTTTGTCTTGCTCTGAGCAGAATGAAAACCTATGTGTTTAAGTTCAAAGATTGCTTGGGGGCAGCTTTGGCTGATGGCCTGACTGTGCTCGCAGCTGGTAGCACCCAGGCTGCAGTTCCAGCAGCAGCCTAGGTGGATGTCTCTCAGCACAGCAGTTTCAGGCTTGTGCTGCGCAGTGACACAGTGATCTCTGTGAACTGTAGCTCTGTGGTTAAAGTTTCCTATTCAATATACCTGAGTTTAAAGGGAAGTGCTGTACCACCAGCCTGAAGTGCTGGCTGCACTACAGTTGCAGCTCTGCTTGTGCCGCTTATTTCTTTTTTGCCCCTTTTCTTGCTTTATTCTTTCCCTGCCACCTTTGGAAAGAGAGGTCCCTTCCTCCGTGGTCCTGGCTCCCAGTCAGAGGGACACGGAGCGCTTCCTCTTCCTTGCAGTGTACTCCCCTGCGATGAAATTGGATAAGGAGTGGCTCAGGCGAGTGTCCAAGGTGTCGGAGATGGTGCTGCCGCTGCTGGCTTTCACCCACGGACACAGGCACCTGAGCATGGCTCTGCGGATGTAATTGTCAAAGCAGTAATAAATGAAAGGGTTGGCACAACTGTTGGCAAAGGCAAAGGGGCTGCTCACCGTCATGCCCACCTGGGCAACCGTGTCAAGGAAACAGTCAGGCAGCTTCTGCAGTCCCAACAGGATGGCCATAAGCTTGAAGAGGTTGAAGGGCACCCAAGAGATGACAAAAGCAGCCACCACAATGAAGACGATCTTGATAGATTTTCTCAGCTTCTTATCGTGTTTCCCAGATCTCTGGTAATGGACACAGAGTCTCTTTGTGATGGAGCAGTAGAAGGTCAGAATGCTCAACAGCGGGAAGAAGAAGGCCAGGATTAAAATCGTCAGTGATGTGATCTGTTTGGATTCTGTCACGTCTTTGTCTGTGCAGTACATCTTGCCGTAGCGCTCATTCAGTTCTCTGGACAAAAGGGTTGGTATCCCTAAGCAGCAGGATAACAGCCAGACACAGAAGCAAAGTGCACTGGAATAGGATCTGGTTCGGACCCTTCTAGCAATGGAGGGATACATGATGGCAAGGTACCGGTCTGCACTCATACAAGTGAGGAGGAGGATGCTGCAGTACATGTTGACTGAGATGATGTAAGAACTAGCTTTACAGAGGAAAGATCCTACCCTCCATATCCCATCTGATGCCTCCTTGTCCACCCAGAATGGCAGCGTGATGAGGAAGATGAAGTCTGAAGCAGCAAGGTTAATGATGAAGATGTCAATCAGCCTCTGGACCCGTCGCTTGAAGACTAAGGCTACGATCAGGATGGAGTTGCCAAGAATGCCCACCAAGAACACGGCAGCATACAGGACAGGCAGGACAGGGAGGAAAGCAGTCATATGCTGTAGCTGCTCGTACTGGCAGCTGTCCTCGTAGTAGTAGTCATCATAGTTGAAAGTGACCGTAGTCACAGGCGAAAGCTGAATGAGATCCATTTCTGGCCCAGCTGTCCTCATCTTGAGGCTGATGAAGGCTCTGAGCTCCCCTCTTCCCTTCCCCTCGTGGTCTTCTTTAAAAACATGCTAGCATGTAAGGGGGGAGGAGTGGGGGAGGAGGAGAAAAGTGGTTTTGGGGTGTAATTCTTACCCTTTTAGCCAATCGTGTAGGAAACAGACAAGCGATGAGCATCTCTGATTAGTCAAAACCCCATCTTCAGAACAAGGAGCTGCTGCTTTTTTAAAGTTAGATCTGATTTTATCTGTATTTTATATTTGCTTGTAGAAGCAATCTGGGTTTGGGTTTTGCTTTTATTTTGGAGGAAGGAAAGTTGTTTTCAAGATTCTGAAGTTTTAAATTTTTAGGACAGGATATTACTTGTCTGCAGGCTAGAGATTATACCAGCTCAGAAGAAATCAGGGAGTGGTGAATTTGGACTCTACTTTCTTCATCTTTCTTTGCAAGCTCAGCTTTTCTGAGGCTTGGAGGCATTTATATTTTCTTTATTCATTTATGATTGTTCTCTGTTGAGAGTAATTCTGTCATATGAATGTGCTTAGGCAAAAATATTTAAACCTGTGGTCTCCTGTACTTGTTCGGTATCCGTCCCTGGCTCACGCTGCCCTGCCAGTGCCCCCTCCTGTCCCTCAGCCCCCCAGATCTCCCACCTGGGCACTCCCACACTCAGATTTACCAATCTGTTTGATATTTAGAGGACAGTTTGTTGATGTGCCATGATTTCTTCTGCATTTCGGTGGCATGGTCCTGCTCCTCCTGCCTGTGAAGCCTCCACATCTTTGAGCCATTCTTAGCTATGGCGTTCTCTTCCAAAAAGCCCCAGTTTTCTCCATCTTTCATTCACAGTTTCACCCACTAGTCCAACTTTGCCTTACCTTACAGTCAGCTCTCAGCGTTGCAAAACGCAAATGAAAATTTTCCCTTTTTCAAGTACTGTATTTATCACGACTTTGTCAGTGCGTGCTAATTTCAAACATCTTCTGGTCTACATCATCCTTTCTCTCTTCTGCACATCAGTTCAATTTCTCCTTCCCCTCCCACCTGCGTGTTCACAGACCTGTCATGTCTTTGGGATTTTCAAACTTTGAGCAAACTGCTTCCTGGAGAGCTGTCCAGGCGTGTAGGCCACATCCACTTACATGCACACGTCTCCATATAGGCTGAAAGCAACTCAGTCACACAGAGCAAATCAGTCTCATCCAGTGCACTATGGATGCCCTCAGGATCACTCTGCCAGTGCTGAGGTTACGTGCTCCAGTGTGCCGGGTTCTTGTTAGACTTCCAGGTGCCTGGACAAGCAGCCAGCTGCTGTTACATGCATGGTTGTCAGATCGAGAGATGTTTAGACGGGCACTCGCACGCCTCTATATGCTGATGATTAATAAAGAACCAAGTATATACAACAGCCAGTTATATACACCATCAGTGGGGCACTAATGAACTCTCGCTGATGGTTTTTCAGTAAGGATTTAATTATCTGAGTGTTGTTCACCCATAGAGGCCTCTGTGAGAAAAGATCAAGGTGTATAAAAAGAGACTGGCTTACATTATCCATTTGTATCCTGTAACCCTATGCGGAACTGTAAACCTGAACAGGCTAAAAGTCATCTTTTAGCCATTTGCCAAGCATCTGAAGAAAACAAAAGATACACCTACTTTTCAACTGGGGTTATATAAAAGTGCCCAAATGTCTTGCAGTTTACAGAAATGTTTCTTGATAGATTCATTGCAGAGGTGCTTTTGTAATCATCTTTACTTATTTCTACATTGAGAAATGTGCTTCAGTTTTATAATTCCAAGAAGATCTGAGAAGTGATATGGTAGAGACAATTTCTTTTTATCTGTGCTGGAGTAGAAGATACGTTGAACCTTTCAGTCTGTGTATAATAGCTTTTCCTCACTTGCAGTCATGGGCATCTGTTATTCTACTCTGCACTTAGATGCAGAGCATCTTACATGCAGTCACAAGATTTATACATTAGGCATAAACTTCTCTCCCTCCACCTCACATCTCTATGCGCTCCTTGAAATTGACTCCACCCTCTCTTAATCTCATGGTACTCAAAAAAAAAAACTTTTAAAGAAATTTAATGAAACCACAGAATTAAGTGTATGCATGTCATCTAAGCTTGTGCTTGTAGTTCCTCACTTTGTTGTAAAGGAGAGATATAAGAAAAAAGAGGAGAAACCCTTCAGCAGGATCTGTTATGATGAGACAAGGGGAAATGGTTTGAAACTAAAAAGGTTTAAAAAGGATTTAGGTTAGATATAAGGAAGTTTTTTTATGGTAAGGGTGGTGAGGCACTGCAACATGTTGGCTAGGGAGTTGGTGGATGCTCTGTCCCTGAAGACATTCATGGTCAGGCTGGATAGGGCTCTGGGTAACCTGGTCCAGCTGTAGATGTCCCCGTTCATTGCAGGGAAGTTGGACTAGATGACTTTTAAGAGTCCTTTCCAACTCAAACAATTCTGTGATTTTACTTAAAAAAAAAAAAAAAAAAAATGGATGGGATCAGCTCCGTTCTCTGGAGTGTGCTCTGTATTTGCTGAATGCTCTGAAGAGAGTTGTGGCTGTTGCTGTGACTTCCATTTTACAGACATTGCCTCATCCGGACAGAGCATTTGCAAAGATACTGTGATGTGTCATGAATGATGAAGCCATCTGTAACTGTCTGTAAGTCTTGACTTTGTGTGTGTGTGTGTGTATGAATGATTTGCATGAAACTTATCTTCATGCAGGGTCTGCCTCTTCCAGAGTTCACTTCCCTGAAGGAGAGATAACTTCTCATGAACATTCAGCACAAAGAAGCTCCCCTCGCAACTTTGCTGCTCAGATAATTCAGAAAGCCGAGCACATGATGCACCAAGATCCCAGAAACACAGCAAAATATGTTGTCACCAGGACAGCCTACACCTTCTCCTCACCCCCTTCCTACTACACCCCCATCCTACTGTAGATGTCTACAGTACTTTCCTCCCTCTCCCACTTCTCCCCAGATGAGTCTGCCTGTTTCCAGGGACAAAACGCTTTACTGAAGCAGCAGCCTCCAGCTTGGCTTTGGTGTGTTTTTCTCCAATCAAGGCGCTCATCTTTTCCAACCTTTGCTATAGTCCCATTGAGGCAATGTGAAACATGCAGCCGCCGGATGCTGAGTTGTTTTGAACATGAGAATGAACCTGAAGCTTTTGTGATCGCACACTTGTGACAGGTGCTGTATTTGTGGCCATGCATGTGGTCTGTCCTGCTTCGGCACATCTGCTCTCATGGTCCCGCTTTTCTAAAATGCACTTGTGAAGCATGTTGTGTCAGTGCTTGCACCATTTTCTTAAACCTTCCTGGGGTCATTTTACTGAAGGCAACTGCTAGATAGGTACAGCAGGACAAATTAAAATATAATCCTACTCTTGTAAAGCCTCAGCAGTTTTTCTGGCTGTAGCAAGGGAGAACATTTCACATAACCGTTCTCTGATGGGTAAAGCCTGCGGCACATGTTATGGTAGCCTTCTAGTGCTATGGCAAAGTGAGTAAAAGATGCACAGCAGAACTACATGTACAGAAAGTGCTTTTATGTAAGCACGGGAATTTATTTCAGGTGAGGTATGCATCAGTAAAGCATTAATGACAATAAATGCTGAGAAGGAACACAGCTTCATTTGGCCGTAAAAGAAAGTGTAGTAGTTTCTAAATGATTGTGCTTCAAAAACCTTTTGTAAAGAACAAAGATTTGTAGGCCAATAAAAAAAGATTGGCTGAAACTGCCTTAGTATGTTGTAGCCATGGTGGAGACAGGCTCAGAGGAAACCAGATGAGTGCCTACCAACAGAATTTGAACCAGTACACCGAGAAGGGCTGAAATAGTTTCCAATCTGGAGCAACAATCTCCAGTGTGGAGTATGGGAAGAAAATACTTTTTGGTACAATTAGTAAATAAAAATATTTTTGATTCCTTTTTAATTTTTATTTTTGTGCTTGTTTTATAATATATTATTACAGTAGTGTATGTTTTTTTTAAATAAATATACACATAATAGAGTGCATGCTCAAATGTTTTTCGCTGATTGAAGGGCACAGTCAAAAAAGTTTGGATACTACTGAATGAGTGGATTGGAAGGGACCTTAAAGCCCATCCAGTTCCAGCCCCCTTCCCCTGGGCAGGGTTGCCACCCACTAGATCGGGCTGCCCAGGGGCCTGTTTGGATGAGTGGATGTCATTAAAACAAACTGGTTCTGCTCAGATTTGAAAGAAGTGTATGTGGAAAGTCTTATCTCTGTGAAAATTAGCCTTAGCTCTTCTGTGCCATACATACATACATTGCCTAAGAAGGCAAAAATAAAACCAGGGAGACAATAACAAGGTTTGAGAGGAATCTGGGGGATTTCTGCTGCACTATCTGTGTGAAGTGCTTATGAAAAACTAAAGCCACCATTTTTATTATTTCAGAGAGATTTGAGAGAGGCAGTATCTTGTAGAAAATCAGCTAGTGTTATTGGGAAGAATGGACAGTCTTTGAACCTCTTTTTCATAGAATCACAGAATGACCTGGGTTGAAAAGGACCATGATGACCATCTGGTTTCAACCCCCCTGCTATGTGCAGGGTCACCAACCAGCAGACCAGACTGCCCAGAGCCACATCCAGCCTGGCCTTGATTGCCTCCAGGGATGGGGCATCCACAGCCTCCTTGGGCAACCTGTTCAGTGTGTCACCACCTCTGTGTGAAAAACTTCCTCCTAATATCTAACCTAAACCTCCCTTGTCTCACTTTAAGACCATTCCCCATTGTCCTATCACTATCCATGCACATAAATAGCTGTTCCCCTCCTGTTTATAAGCTCCCTTCAAGTACTGGAAGGCCACAGTGAGGTCTCCCCAGAGCCTTCTTGTGTCCAAGCTAAACAAGCCCAGTTCCCTCAACCTTTCTTCAAAGGAGAGGTGCTCCAGCCCTCTGATCATCCTAGTAGTCCTCCCCTGGAGGACCGCTAGCTTCTGTCCTCGTGCTTTCCCTCTTTATACACCTGAGGTTGCAGAGACATGGGT